TCACAAACGGTTGCAATATGGATGGTGGAGGAGAACAGGTAAGAGCCCATACTATATGGGTTATGGTATTTGCATAGCACAGACAAGCAGCTGGCAGGACAAATGCTAGAAAGTCCTTGCCAGAAAAGCCAAAAAGAGTTTTCGTGTGAGGTGGTGTGCTGGTGGATGCCGTATCTGGTATGCAACGACAGGGACACCTAGGATACCCTGAAACAGTTGTCAGGCCTGAGATACGGCTGTTGCTCGCCCACCATGTACCCTGGCAAGGACAGCCTGGGCAGCTACCCAACAGACATTGTCCTGGTGCCTTCCCTGCAGTGTGAGAGTCCATGGAGAGACAGCAGAATTTGGTGTGGTCTTAAATTAAGACTGGTACGTGTCATAATAATTGACTAGTCTATTCCCCTATGCATATCTCTTGTCATCTGTCTGGGATAGGTCAAGTTAGTTTCTGCTGGCCCCTGGGAAAAGGATGAGGGAGGGTTCTCCAGCTAGTTGCAGCGGGACAAAATGATGTCACATATAGACACGTCTACAGCCCTGGATTAGTGGTTGGTTGGCATTATCTTGGGCCAGTATGTAAATGGTTGCTAGGCAGATTTATGTTGCCAGGTAATCCTGTGTTTAATGCTCTCTGGCAGTGTCAGAGCTGAGACCCTGGGGAGGAAGGACTGCCACATCGCGCTCCGTTGGGGTGCCCTGCGGCTGTAATGTGGAGGTGGACCACCCCAGACATGACAACAGGCCTTGTCCTTTATTTATGAGAGTACCGAGGGAGGTTCCTCTGCAGAGAAGTGGCATTCCCTTGGGTCACCCTGGACTGCTGAGGTCCTGTGGATTGCACTGCAAGAGCCTGCACTCACAGGGTTACCAGCCAGATCCCTTTCACAATATCCTTCGTGTCCAAAGCCAAGACAACGTGCGCTGTCTGAGAATTTGCCCCGAACTGAGCTCCTGCAGGACGATACAGAAACAGCTATAAAACCTTTGATCCTTCTGCTACAGCTCTTGAAGTGCTGCACTGACGCGTGCCCCCCTGGAGCCCCCCTGCCTGCTCTGCAAGAGGAAGCGGCACCAGCCCTCTGCGATCCTGCACCCCCGCACCAGGATGTTGGCCTGCACGGCCGCCGCCGGGAGCTTGGCAGGGACTCCAGTGCAACCAGATGTCTACGCGGGGTCTCCCATTGTGCTTGGTCCCGTTATCAGAGACATAAAAGGAAGAAGGCACTTCTTACATTCTCCTACGTGACCCAGAGCCACAGCTCCGCGTGTGGATTTTTTGTTCTTTTGGGGAGAAGGGAATGAAGGTGGGTCTAGTAAAATAAATTGCAGGACTTTTTGTTTTGATTAAAGCCATTGTGTAACTACTGCTTGTATTTTCTGTAGTCACATTCCTAAGGCTACACTCACAATAGAAGGCAGCTTATTTTTAAGATGAGAGGAAGACTTGACAAAAAGCTACAGTAAAGCAAGAAAAGCTAACAACATTGATAAAGTATGCCCTTATAAAATTATCAGCCCTAATCCTTACTTTGATATAAACCTGTTTTTGGTTTCCAGCTGCAGGCTAAAAATTCTTGCAATGACAACATGCTTTCTCAAAAACAATGGCAACATGAAAGAAAAGCAATCCAAATATACATATCAAAACTAACCATGTTTTCTTCTATTAAAAAGGCATTTTTTGTCTCTGGATAAATGCCACATTCACGCCTAAAGCATAAAATACAGTGAAGGAATAGATGGCAGTATTTAAAACATGCAGATGAGCTCCAGAAACTTCTAGGGGCATTAGCATAGCTGGTAGAAGGTACTATTTATCTTAGGAGTCACTGGGTAATGTGTAAGATATACAGAAGAGAGAGGTACAAGGTCAGCTCTCTTATGCTTAGGAGCCCTGGTAGTTTGGAATTGGAAGTATTTTTTATGAGGCGCGCTCTGCCATTTCACTTCCAGGAAAAAATACTATAGCGAACCAATTCTTTCAACCCTTCCTTTTCTCTCTCATTTTCTGTCTGGGAAAGCAAGATATTTTCTATTTTTTTCATCTTGAGAGTGCCTGAAAACTAAGAATAGATGAAAGAGAGAAATACTAACCAGCTTCTTCCAGAAAAATTCCTGTATCTATAGATTCATATATTTTAGGGTTTCAAAGGAACATTATGATTATCTAGTCAGAACTGCCTGACAAGCTGTAAAACCTCTCCAAGTAATCTCTCCATCAAGCACATAACATCTGTTTGAGTAATTGCATACCTCTTAGAGAGATACCCAGTCATGATTTAAGGGCTGCAAGTGATGAAGTTCTGCAGTCCTTACTCAGGATTTGACTCAATGAAAACATTGGCATATTATGTTCTCTGTCTGTTAGGTTTGGAGGAACAGAAAGAGATACCTGGCTTTAAACAGAGCCTTGTTTGAAATCTGTATGAATAAACTCTACAGAATTTAAAACAAACAAAAAATGAATGCATCAAAAGAATACTTGTGCACCGCCTTCTCTTTTGTAAGGACGCAAAACCATGTTCTTCAATCCTTTTTCTTGGGCTTTTCAGAGAACATTGACAAAACAGATGAATCCTGCAGGGGGATCTCTTTGGGTTTAAGCTGATTTAGTTTTCTAATTCAGTGACCTATAGGAATAGTTTCCAACCCTCTGTATGATGCACTGTTCCTAATGTACAGTCTAGTCTTGTTTTATATGTGGTAATACTCCACCTTCAGTATCTTTTTAGAGATACTAATGTCAAGAGAATTACAGCAGAGGCACCAACTTTAAGTAGTGAGATAAGTTCTCTCACAGGTGCCATAGAAATTCGATCTTCCGTACACTAACGAGACTTCAGGCGTTCAGCCTTGACACCAGGGCAAAATGGTGACTGAAGTGCTCACTCACTGACAAACACCACAAAAGTGTCCAAGCTCTGTGGCAGAAATAAGGACTAACTGGCATTCTGATCACCGTATCTGTGCCCGCGGTGGAAGCTGTATAAATACACTTGGTTGTTAAATGTGATCAAGAAGCCTGATAAATATATATAGCCAAAAGATGGCATTTTCTGAACAGATGCGGATGCAATATGTTCACAGATCATGTCAGGATGTGAACCTATGCTCGTATGCAACTTTAAAGTACACACTGCCAGAAATGACTTGCCCTTTTTCAGACACATTAATAAATAGTAGAAAAACATTTCAGAATACAATAGCATTGCCAAAACATGATCATATTGGCAACCTTGTTTTCTGTGGTAGTGAACATTATGCATACATAAACATTCAAACTATGGTAGCGCTGCTCTTTGAAATAACAAATGTTTCCAATATTCATTTGCACTATCTGATACAAGAATAGATTTTGCTTACACCCAGTGGTGTCCTGCTATTGCTTGAATTGACTGTCTCAGCTGAAGGTCATGGAGTGACTCGGTGCCAATACAAACAGATGAAATACTGGGAAACCACTTTTAAAAAATCTTACCTTACTAAAAGCAAGCACAAACTCCTGAAAAATGTAAACTTTGAGAAGAGAAGCATCAGTCATGGCTTCTCAGCTCATCTTTCACAGTTAAATCAACAGAAAAAGCAGTCATAATATTTGCACACCTAAATAAAACAAGCTAGGATTTTACTTTGGGACTTAAAACAGCTCAGTTCATTTCCCTAGTCAGATAGAGACTTCCCGTGTGACCTTGGATAAATTGTTTGGGACAAGGTTTTTGAAGTATGTAAATGCCTAAATGTACATTTAGATGAGCACTGGGGTATTTGCTACAGATTTTCATAACTAACAAGTGCTGTAAATTAGCGCCTATCTACCTTTAAAATTATCTTTAAGTGTTTTTTCCAGGGGTAGTCTGGACTAGGGGTCCACAAGCCTATGAATCTGGGCTATTATAAACAATGAAATTCAGAATTCTTTTCACTTTAAGTGTTGATGATAAGGTAGTATGGTGCCCATGAAGCCTCTGAGAACTGACAGTGCTCGAGGAGAGTAGACTCTGTTCCCCTCTGTAATATGAGAATAATTGTACCTTCACTAGAAGCTGCCAAATAAACACAGGACACATTTTGAGACAGTCATATCATGTCATAATGTAGCCGTATTTCAAGCTTGAGTTAAGACAAGGAAAAGAAAATATCCGTTTGCTGCATAAAGAATATATGTTTGTTCTGTAACGTGCTCTCTATTTCCACAGTTCATCAGAGGAGGGAGAAAGATTGCATCTCAATTCTCATACAAAAACATAAATTAGGTAGGGGGCAGTCCTTACGCCAAAAACTGATAGCGTGTAAGCAGCAGAAATCACACAGTTGAGTGTTGCTCAGTACCCCCTGGAAGTTGCTCAGCACCTCAGAATCAGGGCAGAATTTGTATACTTGTTTCAGGCTTGGTTCTGCAATACTAAATTAAATGAGTCATCTTTAACTTATGCAGAATTCCCTTGAAATCAAGAGGACTAATTACCCAAAAATCACTCAAGACAGAAGGAGTTGCAGTGAGGCCCTAAGAGAGCACAACTATATGCACTTTAGGCAACTGAAAAAGCTCTTTCCACAATGCACGTCGCATTTGTATGAATAAGATAATTGCTGACTGGAAGGCACTATTGGTGTTTATTAAAAATGATGGCTCGGAAGCAAGATCTGGCTCAAGGAATCCCTTGATTTGAGGAGCCTGGAAGGGATATCAGGGAAAAAGAATTTAAACATATTTCTTATAATCACTCATAAGCATTTGCTATGAGCAACCATCAGAGGGGGGATAATGCAGAAGGCGATTACTCTGACAGTTACTATAGTCCAATGCTTGACTGTCACAGATTCCATCACACATATGAGAAACTATATTACAGTCAGAAAAGGACATTCACAGATTTCTAGATCATAAACTTCAACATTTACACTTGTCATTTTTTACCTGCCACAGTGGACCAGTGAGATATGACCACCAAGGATCTTTATGTTGACAAAGTAGATAATGCAGATATTATGAGATTGCTGTATGCCATTTAACAGTTTAGTGTTGCTATACTTTCTAGTTTTGTAGAAATACATTTATTCTTTGTACTAAGAGGCAACAAACTGTTCTGCTTCAAATTATTCAACTATGGTTAGTCCACTTTAATTATTGCATATAAAAGTGTTTTATTCTTTTCTTCAATCAGACTGGCAGAGATCACTTAGAGCATTCAACTAGAACAGGCTCAATAAAAGCTAATCAAAAGCTCCTGTGAGTTTGAGCGTGGGATCTGGTAAACTCAGTAACAAATAAAACATAATTCTAAACATTCATGTTTACAAAAAAAATTACAAAATCTGAACAATAAGTTAATAAAGTCAAATAGTTATCTACTGTTCAGATATAAAAATCCGAGCAACTTAATTTATATATCACTATAGCAGACGTGACAAAATTGTGAATAATGCTATCCACTGTCGTAAGTGGTACTTCAAGATTTCCAACAGAAAACTTATATTTTAATTTTCTGTTCATATATAGCCAAAAGTAAGAGGCAAAGCCAGCCTAATAGTAATCCAAGGTTCTGTAGGAGAAACATCAACCAGGGTCGCCGTGTCTGAATATGAGTCATTTCAGGAAGCTAAAAAAAGAATAAGACACCAGAATGAGAGCCAGATATATTCATCTCTGGGAAAAAAAGTCTTATGGGAAAACAAGGCAAACTTCACAAAAAAAAAACTTTCAAAATGCTGAGTTTCTGAATATAGCTATTAATCTGTAGCATGTTCTGTACGTTGTAACAACGCCGATCTTGACAGTGACATATTTAAATTAATCAAATTCTTCCCATTTTGGTTCTTTTACTAGCACCGACAAGAATTATAAATAAGATTCCAAAATTTGTTAACTTCTCAATAGTTTTTAGTAATTTTATACAGCTGTCTGTAAGGAAATGCTTATTTAGTAAAATTAGTGATTCCCTTTTGTGGGAACAAACTAGTTTGAGTTTTTTTGTTTCAGTACTATATATAGGGTCAATCCTGCTCCTACTGAAATAACTGACAATGCTCCTATTTACTTGGGCTTTAGTAAACACACAAGTAGAAAACAGGATTTTTTAAATATGCTTGAAAAAATTACGTTTAATATTTTTTTCTGTGAGTTTTAAATCAAGTAAAGGAGCAGCAGCTGTTTATAATCGTATTAAAAGCTACTTACATTGACCTTCCACCTTACCTGGTCTCTTTTATCAAAGTTTTAAACAAAATGTATATCTCAACAGAGCCTGTGAAAATGATGCCTCAGGCTCACACTCTTTTAGTATTTATGCTTTATGTATTATAGGCACCAGGGGAGACACTAACGACTGCTGACACTTTCACATCAACTTTGGAAATAAATATAGAGCAATGGCCTGGTACTGACCTTCGGTTTTGGTTGGGGTTTTCTTGGCTATTTGTCGTGAACTTCAAAACAAGAGCGAGTGGTCCTGGCACTCTCCCATCACGTTGCCTTCCTGCACCACTCACAGCCTGTGCTCAAACGAAGCTACTTATTTCCTCTGCTCTTTAGAGCCTCCTCACAGGAGCTGTAACAGCATCAGCCACTGGGAGACGGTGGAGTGGTGCTGACCAAGGAGGCTAACAGGGTATGTTTACATCTATTTGCTATGCTTGTCCTTCCCTCTGTCAGAGGGGGGTCTCTGGGTCTGCTTCTCCTGCACTCTTCTTTCTCTGGAAGTTGGCATGTGCCCGAAAGAAAACTATAGTGAAAAATCTGCCTCCACTTTAAAGCTCTGCATAAAAATAACAGGCAAACCCAAAGGTCCTAGATCTTCGTAACAACTAGGCAGTGGTTTAAATTATGGTACAAATTCGTGTCTTAGAAACTCACGTTATATTTAATTTGTATTTAAGGATCATCAGAAACATTTAATCTAAAGCCAATGTAAACACCTCAAAGTTCTGGTGTAAATAAAAATCTGAACTGACAGCTTGTAAGTGTTCAGAGCATGTGGGTTTTGTTTTGTATGTAAGTAAAAACTGCTAATTAAGACCTAGGCCTGAATCCAGGGTTCCCGTCTAGACCTTTGTTCTTTCTAATTTATCCTTATAATCAGCCTATTTTGTCCACTTCCCCAGTGCATGAGTGAACAAGTTCTCTAAATAAGAAACTTTTTCCCTCCCACTGCAAAAGCTAGTATTTTCTCTTATTGCTGTCAGTGCCAATTTATGAGTTGCACACATGCACAGTAGGTTCCTAAGAAAGTTTTTAAAAGGAATTCCCAGCAGGTAGTACCCTTCCTATGTCCAATGCAGATCTCTGCTCGCTCCACCTAGCCTACGTGCACGCTATCAAGCACACAGACCATTTCTATAGCCTTACCGAGTGTGACATCCCTGCTTTGAAAATAAAAGCTGATTGCTGACACAGTATCAGCTATGGTTCCCCAACTCTCTCTGAACTCGCCTATACACAAATGTGTGCGGTACAGCAGAGAAATGTTGTTTGGGAAGCATAAGCCTATTCAACCGGCAGATGCAAAACACTTCACAAATTAAGGGAAGATAGCACCACATCCAAGCTGTTGGTTGCCATCACACTTACTAATGCTTGACGTTTGTTGGAGGCGAAAGAGTTACTGTTAATCAAGGGACTACTCTATTCCCACTCCAGCTCATGTTTTCATCGTGAGCACACAAAAGATATAAAGAATTAGGAAGCAGCGTGCTGAAATAAGGCATGAGGGGCTCTCAACCAAGTGCTGGCTAAACAAGAGTTCTACCAAGCTGGGGCATATATGGCACGACTGCTGCACTGCAGCAGCCCAATAAGTCACTTTAAAAATACTCCTTTATCTCCAAAATCGGAAAGATTTTTAAGGTTATTCAGAGGAAATGTCAGTTAGTTGCCTCAGGGAGCGGTTGGCTAGCTCCTATTTCTTGATATCCTTATTGTCTTTCTTGCTTCTCTCTCCCTCCTTTCAAATTAGACAGTAAATCTTTCTGGTCAGGAACCGTATAAACCAATATGATGTACAATGACTCAGAAATGATGTCCCGGTCCTTGGGGTTTAATACAATGCATATCTTGAAGCAACAAACAATTTACGTTGCAATATTATACCTGTGCACACACATTTGCAAGACAAAATACTCCTCTCTTCCACCTTCCCCAATTACTGGGAAGATGAAGTTTTGCAGAATTCCTTGGTGAAAAATGATGAAGGATATAAATAATTTTTTCTTTCGTCCTTTTCCTCAGATTTCTAAAATGATTAGTCTACCCTGCTTGTTAATGGAGCTGGAATGCCATTTGTAGAAATGAAAAACCTTTAATTAACCACAGAAGTAGTTTTGTACAACCTTGACTGCGGCAGCAGTCTCACAGTGCTGTCCTGTCAATGAACCTCCACCTCATACCCCTCAATGCTCCTCAGTGCGGAAACCAGTGAGGCTGTTCACCTTTATTTAACTGCTGCTCTGAGAAGCACATGAATATGTGAAAGCCCATAAAACAAATACTGAAAATTATAGTTAAGCTTCGTACACCCTTAAGTATTCGTACACCATTGGCAGCAACACTGATGATTGCTGTTTGTAGAGGAGAATGCAGCAGAGAATAGAAGTTATTTCTGTGCAGAAAGTTGAAAAATACATAAAGCATGGCTGATTTTCTTTTGAGATGTACTATACAAACATACAAAAGTTTCCTGCAGTGATTAAAAGATCTTAAAAGATTCCTACAGTGCTACAGGAATATTTTTTTTAAATAAAATAATCCCTGTGATATTCAACACTTGCACTTCTGACAAACATAGGTGAGCAACTCAATGGCAGTTCTTTTGACAAAATGCTGAAAAAGGCTGATTGGAATCCTATTAATAAACGGGAGGTGAGAGAAATAAGATCCGCCCCTCTCTCTCCCTTCTTTCTGCTCTCCACATCAAGAACAAGATTATGGTGACAAGCTGAGAACAAGGGAAAACATGTCCCTGTCTCTGCCTGGAACTGTGTCATCTCTTGGGAATTACAGCTGGCACATTGCTTTGAAGACTCAGGGAAAAACATGGTGTTGTTCTAGGAGCTTGTGGATCCCTGATGGATGCAGATCCTACACTGAAGGAAAAATATGCCTAAATCGTTCTTAGCCACATTAGTAAAACCATGCCTATTGAGGAGGTAGGCAGCCGCACTTCCAAATTTCTCTGTGTCAGAACAAGATGCAGCTTGGTACACAGTGTTCTTGTCTGTAATTTACCACCGCAGTCAGGACTGTTGACACATCCACAATCCTTAGGCAGTTCCCTCACAAGCTCTTAGGAGCACTTTATGTTCACTTTACTTTTGTTATAGTAGCAAAAATAGACTAAAATACACCCAAGGTCTTAGGTCAATTATTACAAGTAGATTTTTAAATAGGTTATAATACTCGCATGGCATATCAGGTTTAAAGTATTATGCTTGAACCTGGTAAATGATATCTCAGGCATGAGGTGGGGGGTGGTAGTGAACACAACAGAGAGACAGCCAGGCTTGGGAAAAACACAGTAACAATTTATGAAGAGACAGACCTCTTTTTTTTCCCTCTTGATCTAATCACTCAAAATGTCCCATCTTTGTTCAGAAACTTGCAAGCAACTTTACATTAACACACCTTGGTTAAAGAGCCATGTGACAAAGTTGGCAAGGTTCTGCATTGTTACAAGTGGAACAGTTAGCCATATCTTCAATAAATGATGTGGCCTGAGGCATCTGCGTGAGTTATGATTCCACCACATTCTTCCACAGTCCTTAGACCTTCCTCCTACTGTGTATCTTCACACTTTATTTTTCTATAGGCAGATCATTACAATTGAACTGGGAGTATGAAAAATGTTGGGCAAATATGAAAAAGTTGAGGTAATCTGATGGGTTCTTAATTGCTTAGGAGCTCATCCAAACCTCTCTGAGATAGAAAGGCTGGCCAGGAAGAGCACAGGATAAGCATCTTGCACTTTAGTTCAGAAACAGCAAATTCATGTTGAAACAATGGATGAAAAATAAATAAAGAAAAGGGCAGTAAAAAGAAAAAAAGTAACCAACTTCTTCAAGATTTTAAAAAACCCTGCAGCTTCAAATGTTTCTTTATGTTGTACTAAGTAACTCTATCAGGCCTAAAAATATATTGTTTGCCTTTCCCCCTTTAAAAGTTGTTTATGCCTTTCTCATATATTACCCTCTTAATGGCCTTTATTTCACCTTTTTATTACTAATTACACCTAGCATGGCAGTGACACGAAACAAAACCAGACTACTATTCTAAGCACTGTACATACACAGGGCAGACAACATGCTCTTCCCAAGAAGCCTATGAACTATTTTTCATTCCAAGTTCATCCACCTGCGTTTGTCTGACACTCATCTGTGATGTGGCTATGTTAAAAGGAAAATATAACAATAGACTGAAGTTCTCACCATTTCTGCTAAAGATAAATACAAGAACATTCCAGCTGTAATAGTAAAAATCCAGTTTTGAATGCACGGGTCAGTTGATACAGAAAGGCCAATATAAAGTCCTAAGAATGCTGTTAGCGCACTTAGAAAATTCATCAAAATGGCAGTCTTCGTGGGGAGCCCTGTACTTAGCAGCACAGCAAAATCTCCTGCATAGAGAAAAAGACAGAAAAATTATTATTTAGCTGATAAATGTGTTGGTAAGACTCTTGGTAATAAAACATGAAGGAAAATAATTAAGATATGCACAAAGATAGTGAATGATGGAGGACTGCCCTTAGATTTCTGTAGAAATAGTTATAAACTCGTCCTGTGTGAAAAAACAAAATCAAAAAAACCATATTGACTTGTATTTGTTTAGCTGTTCCTAAAGATAGCATACAGTATACAGGAGTGGCTTTCTGTTAGTTCTCGATGTTCTGTGACATTTCCAACTTGGATACACGCAAAAGTGAATTCACATGCTTTCCCAGAGTTTCTAAATCTTTCTTGACTGGGAACTTGCCAGTTCAAATCACGTGAGTATATTTGCAGCATGGTCTTTGAGTGTTTTACAGGTGCTGCAAGTCAGCAAAACTTATGCCAGTCTGATTTCAGTTTGAGTTTAATTCCACTGATTTCAGACTTAATTAACTTTGGTAAATTCTACATCAGAATACCATCACAGATTTTTCTTCTAAAATAAATTATTTCATAACAGGTCCACAGTAAAAGATTTTTAAAATTCTTCTCCCTGAGTGTAGAAACGCCACTTTGACACTGGGGTACTACTGCCCCAGAATTAAGAAGGTCTGCCTTTGGAGTTAACTATTCAGTATTTTGCTAATATCTTTGCTATGCAAACATGAGTTAACAGTTTTACAGCAATTCCCCATCCCACCTTTTTATTTGGGGAAGTTTTCTACATGGACAGTACATGACATCTTCAGTCATTTAAGAATAGAAATGAGAATCTGCAGTTCTCATCTCAAACTTGCCAGCTTGTTCATCAACACAATGTCAGGAACAACTTCAGCCATACTGAAAGATTTACCACAAGGAGATAATTGAGGTCAATGTTCAATAGAATGATCTTCCTGTCCTGTCCGCTAGTAAAATGGGTCATATATCTTCCTTTATTATCTTGTTATTCGTAATTAGCAGCAGAGAATACATTGTTAAAGGGCTCTGCTGCATATTAAAATTCTTGGATAGCCCGTTGTGTCAGGCATGCCCATTATGCACACATGGCTATTGCTCACAGCTTACTATTTCTTGTGGCTGTACACATGAGAATAACGGGTCACTCTTGACCTGATGGCATTTACATCTGGAGAAGGTGAGATGGAATGGCAAAAGCCTCCCCTCCTTTTTGTGAAGAGGAAAGAGAAGAAAACAGCCTCTTTATATATCCATCTCACACATTAATTTTATAGTTCATCATGCTAAGAATTCCCACTGATGTCATACAGGAAAGAATTCTTTGGGGAACCTGGGACTACAAAGCCAATCAGGAAAAACACACATATGATTTTCTTACCCATTTCATGAGGAATTTCATGGCATAAAATAGCAATAGTCGTTGTCACACCTGTTTCTGTTGAGGACGAGAATGCTGCTCCTATTACCAAGCCATCAGCAAAATTGTGAAGACTGTCACCCACCAGAACCATTATTGCTAACAAACTAATTTTCTTACCTAGGAAAAAAACAAACAAACAAACAACAAAAAAGCCCAGAAGTTTTAACACAAACAGATACTGTAATTTTTGCTACGTTACAAATTATTTGGGGGTTTTCTCATACATCATTATGAAAAGTCATAATAATCAGAGGACAACAGTGTTTATCTGTTTTGTCCTTGTTATTATACTTCTTTCAATCCACTTGAAATGAAAAGTAAGTTGTAGAATAATTCAGAGATGCAAATACCAGGAAGTAGCTTCTTTCTTTTTACTGGGTCAACTATTAGACAAAAACTTAAGAGTTCAGTTTGGCTCCAGTCTCATGATATGTCCTAAAGGTTTCCATTAATCTTTCCTTGGTTGCTGAAATTCACACAAGTTTTCTTGCATTCTAGATGGGTTTTTTTCCTTAAAAGGTGGGAGTTTTTCCACTGTCACTCATGGAAATCCACAGCTATAATGAATACGAATATTTAGTCTCATGCAGCTGATCATTTTAATACTGTAAAGCATGTTACTACTGAGTAATATTTTCAGGATCTGTTTTTTATGAGATTGTATTACAGTGAAAGATAGAGATGAAAGGCAACAAGCCTCAGAGTATCACTATTACTACAGCATTACAGCATGCTCATTTCCAACTTTTGTTCCAATCAATTAATGGCCATTATGCTCATAGTACTCTGCCTGCAGCATCACTCATGGATGCAGACGGCTGGTTCTCTTGCCCATATTGTTCTGTGACCTTGCTTTAGTGCGGAACAGTGCATTGGATGTTCATGATCAGGTATCTGACATGAGAGGAAAGGTGCTGCTAGCGATAAAGGTACTGAAATCAAGCTAGGGAATTAGGAACAGTCTCTCCGTGCAGCCTGTAACCCCAACAGCCATGTAGCATGCTGAATGGATTCACGCGGAGGGATTTTGTCTCTTCAAGTAGCAATGAGGCTCCATACACAGGCCCAATGACTAGGCTTAGCAACATATAATTGGCTCCCCTGCCCTGTACTTTGTTCCATCCATTTTATCCACAATCTTACAAGCACGACCTTCTAATGCCTCTCAGGAAACTCATCCAGCTTCCCTCTACACAGTATGGACAGAACACTTAACAAAGGGTTGCTTTTATGCCTGAAGAAGCAGAGTTGTGATTTGGGCCCTAAATGTCATGTATTTTCCTGACTTTTGTTGGCCCCACACAGACATGATATGACAGTCCAAGGAGCTAACGTGGAGCTGCACAGAACTGTCTGAATATAGTTATTATGAGGTTTCACTTGTGTAATGTTTTTCCAGAGATGACCATTTTATGGTGATGGGGGAGATGTTTTTCTTACAGAAACTGGCTAGAACTGAAGTCTTCAGACTATTATAAAAAAAACACACAGCACATAAAAGCCTAACAACTGTATTCAGAAAATCCTCCCTAGTTGCCTGGGAGCTCTGCGGGTTCAGAAAAATTGGCAGGCTTGTTAGATTTTCCTGCCAGCTTATGGAGCCAGACGTGGATGTCCCCAGTTTGCACAGTTCTTTCTAAACACTACGGGCAGTTTATAATCAATAGTGCAGAGCATGAATTACATAGAAATAATAGATTGCTGCATTACATGAAGTCTGTGATTTGCAATAAGCACTGGCGAGGACGAAATCATGGCCTGCCCTGAGACATTATTAGTCTGTTTTATTCAAGTATCTGATTGTTGAAGAAGATATACCATGGTTACTGGAACTCACTCCAGCATGTTGTCTGTAATACGACATTGGGATCAGGTTAACATTATGGAGCAATTGCAAATGTAAGCTTTGTGAACTTACTTGACTGAAAGTTAAGAAGATACATATATAAACAAATCTGAATGTTTATCTTAATTTACTTTCAGCCTATTTTAAACCAACTTTGTTACTAGCAATTATCTCACCGCATTACATTGTTGCAACGGTAACTATTAACTTATTACCCTAACTATTTCTACAAAGCCTCTTCTTCTTGAACAATCTTACATTTATTTTTGATAATTTTCTCTGCTTAAATAGGGGATCAAAACTCATAGCAAATTTTATTCCATAATTTTCATAATGGGTGCAGGACTCCCACCATAGATTATGCTTTTTAAGCTTTGAATAAGAGTTTAAAGCAAACACTTATCCATAAACAGATCTTTTTTCCAACGTTTTAATTACGCATAGAGCAAAAATATTTCTCATTAATATAAAGTCTCACTGAGTATACCAAATATAAAATGCTCCTGTTTTGATCTTTTCAGATATTGATAGAACAAGCATGGATAAATGAGGAGAGGGCCAGTGAGACATCCTTTTCTTCCAGTAGCTTCTTGCTTTCTGAGTTACTCACTGGCTACCTAAAGTGATTGACTCCTCTCGCAGTCCTACTTGACACGTGTTTACCGTGTAGTCTGGCATTTCTGGAAATGTCAGGCTTCTGTCTTAGAGCTGCAGATTCCATTCCATTTTGGGAAAGAAATGCCTAAAAGTTCAGCTCGGTATCAAGGTACCCAGGTATGTTTATGCATTTAGCTATTCATAAGAACTGTAACAATACAAACTTTTGAAAAGAAGTATTCTCAAAAAAACCCTAAAACTAAACAACCCCCCTCCCTACTATGGTTTCGCTTATTGATTTCTAATATAGAGGTAAAACTGAGGTATGAGGAAAAAATGGAACTGAACAAAGAACACTACTGAGAAACTATCCCAAATTTAGTTATACACCAAATTCAGTTATTTGGAACAAATAACATTGAGATCATTAGAAACTTGTTTGTGCTTATCAAGTACTGATGATTGAACAGAATGGAAACATCTAGAGATGGACTAGATAGTCACACTGAAACTGGCACTGGATTGTGTACTGCTGGATAGGTGAGACTGAAGAAATGGAAATCCAGATTTCAAATGCCTCAGAAATGGAAATGAAGTCCACAAGAACAGAGAAGAATATTAAAAACCTAGAAGAAGATAATGACATTGTTAAATAAATTAAACAACTGATGACCTGAGATCTGAGATCACAAAATAAAGGGGAGCTGATTATAGTAAATCAACTGATCTCAATTAAAATGTTATTCCCTCAGTTGAATGATCGCAACTCTACTAAATTCACCAAGGTCACACAAGTACAGTCAAAGGCAGAGTTTGGTTTATGCTCTATTTTCCCATTTTTTGGACTAAGCAGCAACAAAACAGAGAAGATAGATAGGAATTACTTTGAAGCTCTCTGAAGAAAACAGATTATCCTAAAACTGAGAGCCATCATGAGCCCATAATTCCATACATGCAATAAATCATTACTGGTTTAAAGAGGCTATTGCTTTACCGTGTAAGAGAAGAAGGAAGCAGAATTATATTAGTAGAGTGAGCCAACAAAACAATCATTTCACTACCTTCAGAAATAAAAGCCCAAGCAAAGTTTACAATTACAAAAATCTGTTTTGTATTAAATTTTGAATATTTCCCTTTAAGCAAAGGCTTTCAAAAAATGGTTTGCAACACTGAGTAAACAAACACTAAAGCATGGACAGTATAAGATTAATGAACTTCACAATTACAGTGTTGGCAGCTGAAAAGGTCTTTAAGCAGAGATTAAATTATATAGCCAAGCACATCAGATGTGGTGATGTAGCACATAGCAAAGGCAGAGCTAAGCCAGCTTCACACTTTCAATTCCATCTTAGGTCTGAAGGCTTTTCCTGTTACTTCTCTAGTCTTTTTATTGATACTAACTTTTTTTCCGGATCGCCTTACTCTCTGGAGGAACTTCAGCAGACTCAGAATCTTCTGGGCTTCTCTAGTTAAAAGCAAAGATAATGGATCAGTGTTAAGGGGCTCTTCCAGCTGCTGGTATAAATATAGGAAAATATCAAATCAGTTCAAGCTTTTTGAATTAAAGATAGTCACTGTTATTTGCATAGATATCATTAGAATAATTTATTGAGCACTGGTAGTGTGATTGGTACTGCAGAAACACATAAAAAAGAAATCTCCCTTGCCCAGAAAAGGTTACAGTCTAATTCACGTAGGAAGAAAGACATTCATAAGCACTGTTGTAACCCAAGAAAATCATGTTTCTGCTTGAATACACAAAAATCTGAGCCAAAGGCAGAACTAAAAAGGACATTATAATTCAAATTGTATCTTTTGATTTTGTTGTGACTGGATGATTGTAGTTTCCTGCTGGATAGGGTGAGTATAGGATTTCCACAGAAAAATGGGTAGACACCAGAGTCTCTTTGGAGTTCATATTCTTCACACTTACTCTGTGAAAACACAAGGCTAAAAAAAAGATGATCATAGGTAGGTTTCACACCCTTTCAAAATATAGGTTTTTTTCTTCAGGGTGGTACAGCCTCCAGTGCCTTGCCTCTTGGCCTTTAGTTAGGGCTTTGTCTCGGCGTCAGGCATCACTGGCTGGGCATAGGAGCACATGACTACAGTCCACTGCAATGAGTGAAATTTACCCTTATTTCAAGTGAAGAAAGAGACAGTATCTTTGTCCTCATCCTAGAGAGTTAATCATCTGATGCATCAGCCCTAACATTTAATTAACAGAAACTGCAACTGTGGGGAGAGAAGGGAGAACATCTCTCCCCCTACCTCCCTGGGGCTTTTCTTTCTAACTAGAGAAATTATTAGAAATTTGTGTGAGGGTGAGATAAGCCAAAGAACTTGTTTGCTTGAATTTATAATCACTATCTTTTCTTTTTTTGGCCAAAAAAGCATATTAAAGCTATTATGGCAGCCAGTGAAGAGTCAACAGCAGCATGGAAGAGTGCTTTGTTAGGGACAGCAGCCACCACTCTGAAAACTATAGCAGAGATGTGTACTGGCTGCAAAACAGGATATGTTTCTTGGCTGGTGTTAGCTTGGTTGTAATGTGGGATATGAGCTGTAGAAGGATGAGGAGGGAAGGGAAAGGATTTGGTTTTTAAATTCTACATTTTAAAGGAAAAATAGAAGTCTTTAATTCCCATGATTGCAGCCAGTCATATGAATTCCAGTAATTGTTCCACTTCTCTTATAATATTTATTCACATGCCACTTCTTTGAACTCTGAGTCAAAACTGCAAGACTAATCACTGACCTGAAGGATTTATAAGCTTTTCTTAGTCAACCAGTGTTTGTCTTACTATTACTCACATGATTCTGAAAAATTGGCCGCTCTTGTACAAACTAGCTAAGCCAGGCTAGTTCATGTGATCTATACATAACTTTAGGGGAATCTTGCAGCTGACAAGGCCGTTCATTATCATAAACAGGAAGCTATGACGTGGCTCACAAATTAGTAAACATTCTTCACTTGTCTGTCTGCTCTGCATTCAGTTGGGAGTTTCCCAACTGTGTTTGAGAGGGATTAGCAGTGGCTCATGAGGCTTTTACCCATCACAACTGCTTTAGTAAAATGGAGTTCACATTACAGAAGATCTCTGAAGATTCTGATTTAAATAACCAGGAACCTATGTATCTAGATACGACATATAAACTGAAGAGATTTGTTGGAAAAAGAGAAAACAGGTTAAAAGGTATGAGTCAATTTAGTTTGCAAAAATATATCTGTCTGGATACTCTCCACAGACCAATAGAAAATTATGTAACTTCTTATAGGAAAGCACCATTCCCAGATATCCAGCTTGTTTATGTTACTCTTCAAATCTGTGGAAAAATGCCCAAGAACAGTCCAAGATTTCATCTGTTCATTAACTGTGCACTTAACTCTCACTGCAGAAAATCCTGATGTTTTTCCCATGGGAGAGTCTGCCCTTACACATGATAAATTTTTAAAAAGAAGGGAGGAGGAAAATCTTCAAGAATTTTATCAACAAAAGGTAGTACGGGAGACGTATTGTTAAATCAATCTGATACACACTTAAGAAAAGTTATTGTAAAAATCTTTGTTTGAAATCTCTGTAAAAGTTCATTATAAACTTCAAAATCTAGAGATTCCTGACAATCATGTCATGTAATAAAGGACAAATCAATAAAGACTGAAAAATAATACTGATTTATTACATTAATTTGGTTCATTTTTTGAGAGAAAGAAGGATATAAAATCAGGGAACTATGTCATATTGGTAACCTACCAACTGTATGGTTGAAGTAGATTTGCCTCTGCCTGAATGTTCATTTAATTCAGATTCCACTGGAAGATCATGGGAATGTCCCCAGTGCCCATTAACTAAAGAAAGGCCCTGCTGAATGAAGATGCTTTGCAATTAGTTCTGAAACCAAATGAACACAGGTGCAGTCTTTCTCAGCCTTCTGTGAAAGTTTAGCATTTATAAGAATTTTTTTTTTCCAAAACAAAACCTATTGAAAAAGATTGTTGGCTGGCATCAATGTTTCCTAATGCTTATTTGATTAAAGAAACCCTGAAAAAAAAAATCAGATAGATCAGTGACAACCATATTGGTTTGATAAAACTTATTTTGTTTTAAAACTGAAGATTAAAATTTGAAGCTGAGATGGATCTAAAAATTAACTTTGAGAATTCATCTAGTTCTCAGTAGAACAAGTTTAACAATTTGTGGGATGATGATAAAGCCCTTCTCTCCAAATAAGTTACAAAAAGGACTACTTTTTACTAAACAAACAAAATATCACCATCATCAAAATATTCTCATTCTATTAATCTCACATAACATTCTTATGGCTGACTCAAAGATAGCGGGAATAGGGACTCGTTGCTATGTATCTAAATCAGGCCAGTCATTAACCATTCTCTGTAAAACAGAACAAGCAAAGGCTTAGCCTTTTAAAGTGACATTAAGATAGCCTTCCATGCTGAGAAACTTAATGAGCCATCACGCTTTGTGTTACATTATATCCTTGTGCATAATCATATTTTCAGGCACCAGCCACACTGAAATAAAATAATAGAATTACTATAATCATGGCAGTGAGCAAGGAGATATTATTAATGTAAGATTGGGTTCTACTGACCGCAACATACATATTAGATTTTCAAATCTATTGGGATAGGGGTCAAAAACAATTTGGAAATTTTAAGATATCATTCTTGAAAATCTCTTGTGCTTACATCTATGTCTTCCTCCTCTTCAAAGAGAGCCTAGAGTGAACAACTGCCATTGCTATTTCATATAGATACATACTCTTCACCTGCTCCAGTGCTAGTCATGAAAGTATGCTTATGGAACACACTCAATTAACTGTTTCCTTCTTGAGTTATAAATATATGGAACACATTTATAAAGCATACAAAATCCATAGAGCAAAGCAAAATAGAAATTGAAGGTCAATCTCCTAGGAGCACTTTGGAAAGCAATTTTTAATGCTTCATTTAACTCATACAAATTATTTTCCACAATCATGTTAACATTTTCTGCACTGTAAAATCTCAAAATAAAAGAGTTTTTTTAAAGGATAAATTGTACAAAGCTTTACCTGGTCATGTGGTGTTACCAAAAGAAAGAAACACTTTTCTATCAGAAAAAATCCATGAATTCCTCCAATTATTCCCAAAAGTTTCCAAATATATTCTTTCCCCTCATAGAAATGTTCCACCTCTTGTGCTTCATGTTTATGTAAACCAAGAGTCTAAAAAAAAGAGATAAAGTAAAAAAAATTAAAATGGCAATGTTTTATTTTTTGTTAGAGTAATCCATAATATATTAATTCAATTTATTATAACTTTTTTTTTTGCCATCTCTTTCAAATTTAAATTGTGTTTTGAGCTAATCAGCTGAATAGTAGATGGATGAAATGAATTATTAGGAGCCTCTGCTACACTTCATCATCATCTCTCAATAGTGAAAGTAGCATTACTTTTAGAGACAGTTTTATGAAATTGCCCTTTTTTTATAAAAATATATATATATATTTGGTCTATTTTGCTTGGAGTATATTGATCTTTAAAGTCTAAAAAGTTAATTGCATTATCTTCAAAAGTAAACTCCATATTAAAAATAATCCACAAAGCTTTCCGCTGGTGGGTGTGCTTCCATTTTTTCCCCCACTGGCACAGCATGGTAGCCTTCCTTTGCTCTGAAAGTGGGCACTTTAAAGGCTACCGGATACGTCACTTAAAACTGATGAAGGAGAATACTTTCACACCCAAAAGGTGTCTCTTAAAGAAATGCATTTGTCTGACATTCACTGAGAATCACCTTTCTTAAACCACTCTCCCAGTTCTGCTTCCGGAGATGATGTATTGAGTACAAACAACGTTTTGACCAGAATCTCAAGTGAAGGTGTGAAGCTCTCTTTCAATGACCAGTGGAAGTCTACTCATAACAGCTGTGTCATATCAGAGGAGACTGAGTCAAAAATAAATGAATACACAATGGCAAATTTGGTTCTGTTTTACACGCTATCCTATTCTTAAAATTTATTTTATTAATTTAGGAAAAAATCATAGCACCCATTTTATTACAGTTCTAGGCAGCAGGATTAATTAGGCTGATAGCCCCTGGTTCTCTGGAACAATGTGTGGAGGGGACTGTGGATGCCTCATACAACCTTTGAACAATTTCTCCTAAAATGTGGTACAGAATCTACCT